ATGGTGCACTCTCGCTGTCGATGCGATTCTGAACCACATTTAAGGCACTTCCTTGCTCTCTGCTCCTTGTCCAGGCCAGCCATCGAATGCGAATAGGTGCAGCGATCTCCTCTACGACACCCCGAAGCCTTCGCGAAGTAGCGACATAGCTCAGCTGCTCCTCCGGCGGGTGTCCGCGCCGCTCCGTCCTTAGCCTTGGGCTGTAGTGCATCCACCGCTTTCACCCTTGGTCCTGAAGCTGCAATCGAGCTCATACTAGTGCTTGCTGACATAGTTTCCAATTCAGCCTGTAGGTGTCTCTGATACCCCAACACACTCTCCATCGACGGTTGAGCATCCAGGCGCAGCGAGGTTCTCAGCATAGATGTCCGGAACGCAGCATCTGGAGACTGATTGATATACTTGTCTGTAAGTCCTGACAGTCCACGAACCAAGACTGACGGGTCTGGTGGACTCATATTCACTGCTCTGCATCGCGCAAGAAGACGCGGCCATGATCTCACCAGCTTCAGCACCTCCTCTAAAGAGTCCACGCTCAAATAGTCCCGAGGAGCTTGCAACCGAACCAGTACATCGGACCGCTCCGCAGACCCTCCTGGCTGGTACAAGGTATGAAGCCTGTAAACCATACGCACCACATTCTGGGAAATTCGCTGTGTAACCATCTCTCCACGAAGGTCTGTTGTCATAGCCGCAAGGAGCATGGATGCGACTCTTGCATTCAGTCGTGCCCACTTTCCAGTAGACAGCTCATCAGCACCATCAGGAGCTATCGCCAAGCGCTCCAAAGGGGTGGCACGCAGCCACCTGTCATAAGTATCACTCACGACATTGATGACGGCTTTCCACCAATTGCTGCTCTGCTCGCTCACATCTCCAAGCACAGACGACGAGACCTCCAGCCAGTCCTGAAACGACAGTGCTGCTTCACACCCGCCTTTAAGGTCTGGTAGCGGAGCCAATGCCATCGTGCCGGGCTTGAGGACCTCTGCATTCGCTGTGGCGCCGGCACCCTTGGCCAGGGCTTGTGCTTGAAGTTCTTGTAGCTGCTGTATTCCCTTAGCTAGCACGTCCAGGGTCGGAGACCCAGCTGGCTCAGTACCCACGCGCTTTGGTGGTGGGGTCGGACTTCTGGCTCTCCCTCCCCACCATGTACGTAGTAGACCAGGGGCTTCATCACTCATTCTTGCCTTTGGTTCCTGTAAACCGGAACCTTCATCTTCACCATTGTACTTGGGAACCCCTTCACCGCCATATCTGCCTCCTTGACGCTGCATTCCATCACCTCTTGGTTCTGGTGGGAGTCGAGGTACTGCTCCTAGATCATCTTGAAATAGACCGACTCGTGCTTGTTCTGAAGGATTTAGACGCGGTAGAGGAACTTCTTCAGGTGGTACCGTAGGGTGATGGGCTCCTAGTGGTTGCACAGGTAAGTCAGCTTGATCCCCAACACATACTGGAAAACCTGGAAGAGCTCCGGGACCTAGTGGAGCTGTAGCAAGATCCCCTAGGAGAGCCCTCATAGATCGCCTGTCCACATCACCGGCGTGGGCCTCCCTAAGCTGGCTCCTTGCTTCATCTAGCTCACACTGAAGCCGCTCGTTCCTATCGCCAAGCTCCCTCAATTGAGACAGTACTCCGTGTAGTTGCCTCTGCACCTCAGCTTGTATGGCTTCCGCAGGTATATCCGACGACGATGGCGGAGTGGGTGCCGCCGGTATTGGGCGAGCCTTTGCTGGTGAGCGCAGTCTGAACGGAGCACCCCCTGGGGGAGTCGTATACAACGGTGAAGATCCCGGAAAAGGACTAGGCGCCAGGTCCACCAACGGTCCTCCTGACGATCCATTCAATAAACTTCCCAACCTCATGACCCACCTCGGCACTTCCATCGCCGAGATCCACGATGGTTGTGTACCACCCCTTTGCCCTGTCATAGGCCTTGGAGTAACATAGCCATCCGGTAGTCCAGCAGGTCGCGGTTGCTCACCTCGAGGCTCCTGCCCTGATCGCCCACCCGCATCCACTGACGTCAAGGCCATCTTGGGCCCCGCCTGCACTGGCACAGTTGTGGTCTCAGAACTCGAAGAAGGTTGAGCATTCCCTGCCGTTTGCAGCTCTCCGCGCGCCACCTCGGTAGGTCCCACGTCCTGAGTCTGCTGCTGATCGGGACTTCTTGCTCCCGCTCCAGTTGTCATCGCTTCGGGCTGAGTACCCACCAGCCCACTGCAGGTTGGAAGCTCTCTCTCTCCAACCCCATTTGGTATCTGCGCAGCGGCCCCTATTGCTTGGGCGCTCATAACCTAGAAATCTCCGGCTTGGGAGA